CATGCTAAATGGAGAACAGATTGTTAACAATTTCAGTTTGCTTGGTTCCACAATCTTGGCACCAGCAGTCAGAAAATCAAAAGATGAATTGCATTAGGAAAATCTACTGTCAGGGACCTCTCAAGTGTGCTTAAAAGTAACAATGTCAGTTTGGAGACCAAGGTCTGCCTGATCCAGGCCATGGTCTTCACAACTGCTTGTTATCCATTAGAGAATTGGACAATGACTAAGGATGACAGAAGAAGAATCTGTGCCTTTGAGTCATAATGCTGGGGAAGAGTATTGATCATACTATGGACTGCCAAAAGAATTAACAGGTTTGTTAACTAACCAAGTTGCTCCTTGGAGGCAAGATTTTTTAAGCTCTGATTTAAACACTTTGGACATGTTGCCAGAAGGAACCAGTCCTCTGAGAAGGGCATCATCCATGGAACGATAGAGGAACAGCACAGGAGAGGAAGACCCTGGAGGAGATGGATTGACCTGGTAACTGGTGTAATGTGGATAGGTATGTGATAGTAAGATTGACTCAGTATAGGACAGGGTTTAGAACTACTGCGCATAGGATCACTATGCGTCATGACTCGACGACTCTTAACAAAAGCTTTTCAAACTGTGAGGAAATAAATTCCTAATGTTTAAAGCCTCTTACTTGTGATATGTTTTTGCAATAGCAGCACCAGGTAATTAAGGCAATAATAATAAATAAATTCTATATTCATGCTATGGTATTTTCACACTACGGAATACTATATTGCAAAGAGGATGAGAAAACTACACACAACAACATAACTCTCTCAGGAGCATAATGTTGCGTAAAAGAAGAGAAAAATAGAAGTGCATACCAAGTTATTTTGCTTACATAAAGTTCAAGCAGCTCATCTGTGCTATTGGAAGTCGGGGAAAGTAATTCTTCTTTGCAGGATTTTAACTGGAAAGAGGCATGAGGGAGGTTCTTAGGGCACTGGCAATGTTCCGTTTCTTTGATCTGGGTACCGATGGCATGTATGTGTTTTATATTTGAAAACTCACAGGGCTGAACACTCCTGATTTGTGCATAAAGTTGACTGCTTATAATCTGTGCACAGAGTAAGATCTCACTGCAAGATAGCTCATAATGTTTTTCCATTTATTTTCTATTATATTTGGAGAGGCAAATTGTACATGAGAGCTTCAAACCAACCATTGTACATTAACCAATTTTTACACAAGCCATTTGAAAAAATCTAAAAATGTGCTTAGTTACTGGTATTATATAACATTTATCAAGCACCAAGAGTGTGCTGAGAGCTGTCCAGAACAAACATAGAAAAGACACAGCCCCTGCCTTCAAAGATACACTTTCTCAAGAATCTCCACCTTATATTTCACACCCTTTTATTCATAAGGCATAAATAAGGGATTTTGTTGCATTTCTCAATGTTACTTAGGTTACAAATATCTAATAGCCTCTTTCCCCAAATTACACCAACAAACACTAATATCTTTGCCTTTAAATACAAATTTCCGTGATATAATATATAGTATTCACACAATTGACCACAATTTTCTTGCAGGTTGGTTATAATATGAAGCATGTTGAATTTCAACATTAACAAAGTTTTTAAACCACTTTTAACAGAATCATTTACTGTTGGTTTTTTAAAACAACAATAATAATAATAATAAATGAGGGGCCACTGCTTACATCTTGATAAACTGTAAACAAAACCAGCATGATCTTGAATCCAATAAGGGTATCTGAACTTAGGGCAAAGATACTCAAAACAATGATTCTTAGCAAATCTATTAAACTAGACTTGCCGAAAATAATCATATCGTTCCATGCGGGAAAATACTAACAATTTATATATGAGTGATGTTAAGCATGGTCTCCTTTACTCTATCTGCATTTTAAAGCAGTCCTGGTATAAAATATCTTTGTAAAAAAACCCTCTGAAGTGGGAAATTTTTTCTTTTCTGCAGGGTTGTGATTAAAATGAATTTTAGTTAGAAAAAGAGGATGAAATTATTCTAATTATTGGCTAAGGATATCTAATTTTCAAAGATTCCCTTAAAAATAACATTTGGGTGTTTATTATAAAATGTAGGAAAATGAAGTGAGTTTTGACAATGAAGATTTTTTTTTACTTGAGTACAAGAAATTTTCTTTTATGAGAAACTGGCATAATTATGGTAAAAGATGCCACCCAACCTAACAGATAAGCCTATGTTTTGTATGAGGAGCTCAGTAGGATATGAGGGGCAAATCTTAAAGGGATGAGGAGATGTCTATCTGATCCTGCCCAGCTCTACAAATAAAAGCACTAGGATGAGCATGGGGTCCACGCAAAGGTCTATAACAAGACTGCAGCCAATGGAGAGAAAGGATTCTACTGTGGACTACATCTTCTCTGGACCATCAAATTCAAACCATGGAAGAGGACAGTAAGCTCAGTGCCATACTTGGTGTCATTAAGCTTTTCAGAGGAAACCCATTGCCTTTGGATCTCCATTGTCTGGTTTCCATGGGATAGTTCTAATTTCCATTATGTCTAATGGTATTGTATCAAAATGTAAAGCTACACTAAATTTCTCTGACTTCCTCCCAGGTATGAGAGCTGTAGAAAAAAATTATAGACAATTTTTCACTCTCACATGTGACGTTGAGATTTACTGTTGTCTATTCACTAGACACATACTTCAATTGGGGCCTTTTAAGAATAGATTTACCCAACGGCAGTGGCAAAAGGGGCCCACGTGATCTTACCTGTCAAATGGAAGGGTCTGGTTGGAAGCTGACAAGATTGATCTTATCTTGAATAAAAACAGATCTACTTTTATGGTAACTACAAAGCAAAAGACTAGGAATTACCTACCTTAGATGCTTTGACAGCTCAACCTGTGATTAAAAAAGAGAATGGTGGGGATATGATATGGGTTAGACTCATATTTGATTGGAGAGAATGTGGGATGGTGATAATCTAGTGATCCCTTTGGAATGGGAGAAACAACCTTATTTAATGGAATGTGCCCAGCCGCAGCACAACAGAGCATGGAAGGACTAAAATCCTGACAAAAGACAGTTAAAACAAAAAACACCTAAATTATATATATATTCCCATTAGAAATCCACAGTTTTCCATACCAAGACTTAAGTTTTAATCACGTAATTGAAAAAAATCTATACATAAACTAGATAATAGCTACAGATAAAATGAAGATGAAGGCATCCATTTCATTTGTTCAAATCATAAAGTTCTCTGACAATCTATTAATGATGAGCAATAGATTTAAGACACAGAAAGCTAAACATTATTTGGACATTTTTCAGATGGATGTTGGACTCCTATTGCTTTTAAAGTTGAGATGTCTTCCACACCTCTCTTGCAGTAATTTATTATAGCATTCAAAATAATCATTCTTACTAAAAAATGTATTTATATTCCCACTTTGTTCTTAAAATTAGGAACCCTTGTGTACAATGGTTAAGCCCTCAGTTACTAACCAAAAGGTTGGTGGTTTGAACCCACCAATCACTTCCCTGGAAAAAGATGTGGCAGTTGACTTCCATAAAGATGATAATCTTGGAAACTCTATGATGCAATTCTGCTCTGTCCTATAGGGTCACTCTGAGGCAGAATTGAATTGATGGCAATGGATTTGGTTCGGTTTGTTCTTAAATAAATTTAAGGTAGTTTCTATCAATCATTTTTTCTTCTTGCTTAAAAAGGATTCCTTCTGTGCAATTATTGTCAAAGCACCATTCAGTGGGGAGAATCTGAGATCAAATTCTGATGAAATTACAACTGCTTCTCATACAGTAGAGAAACATTACTCTCAAGTTATTTAACAGAGAAGACAACAAATGAAACCCAGATATTCAGACAGACATATAGATAGATAAATGATTAAATAGATAATATTTTTTGCACTGTTGACAGATCATTCAAAACTCTGGAGTATGTGTTTGGCATAGGTGAGAACAGCGCAGTCCTTTTTATCATATTATATTAGACACATTTTCGACTTCTGTGTAAAGCCATGAGAAATGACTACCATTAGTGGTGCATGGAAACCGTGGTACATGGAAACAATGGTTTACAGTTAGAAAGTCAAAGCATTGTCTCTATTCTTCAAGGCACAAAGACAAGTTCCAAACTCTTCAACTCATGTGGGAGAAGCATAGTACCTGGTACCACATAGAAAACCAAGGAGTGGTGCCACACGCCAAAGCAGAATGGGAGATCCTTTGGGGTAGCCATGATTTTCAAATATTGGCCTTACGTGGTTGGCAAGCAATCCCCCTCCAACACGTTGGGGCTGAGGAGGAAAACGTTTCTTAACCTGAATATACTGGACCATTAAGCATTGAGCGTGCACTTCATGTCACACTGGATTGATTTGGCAGTCTGACTCCTTCACAAGGAAGAAGGTCCAAAATGTTTCCATGAAGATCTGCAGTGAGAACTCTAACAATGACATAAGGGCATGGATGAAAAGTCAGTAGCCCTTGTTAAAAGTCAGCAGAGTTGTAGTGACATCTTTATGGGTACATCTCTGCTACTTCTCCAGCAATGGTCTAAGAACATTCAGGAAAATTGAATATTTTCTTCTCATCCTGCCCCTTAGTATCCTTCAATGAGGCATATATTAAATATATTCCATATAGTATATTCTCCATCATAAAACTTTCATCAAAATGGAAAGAGTCCAATTAATCTTTCTCATTTTTTTGGCTTGGAATTAATTTTATATCTACTGACAGTCCCTTACATTCTTTTGGTAGGAAAAAATATTGCACTTCTAAAAACACATCAAAGTAGCTAAATCAAAGCTAATGTGTAGGTAGATGTCACTCAAGAATGTACACTTTCTCACCATTTTCATCATTTGCCAAAAAAGTCTCCAAAATGTCCTATCTAGTTCCAACAAACCATTATGACTTTTGCTGCAATATTTTATAACACAGAGGAAGACACTGGAAGTCCTAAACTGTCCATAACGCTGTGTTGACTGGCTCAGGATTTCATGGTGCAGATGGGCACGACAATGACCAGGATGACTGTGCATGCAGCAGCCGCAATCAGAGCTGCTATCTTGCAGACCTTTGCTCGTCGGAACTCGGCTTCCTTGCGTTTTAGTAATGAGTCGTAGCCTGGAGTATAAATATCTTCCATCCAATATTCTAAGTTGTTTGGGTTTAAAGATTCTTGTGCCTAGAAGTGAAAAGATGTTAGATGGTGAAGGCTTGACATTGTGTCAAAGAGGTTTTGACAACTCTCAGTCTTGAAACTTAAGAGTGGCTAGTCCTCAGAGATGAGCATGCGATACGATACAGTATTTCCCACAAGCCCAGCCTGAGGTGGGCTCCCAAGGTCTCAGCTCCCACTAATCACTGGTTGCACTGTCCTTTCTCTTCCCACAAATATCACAATGCTTTTGACATAGAGAAACCTATGGGTCTCCTATCTATGAGCCAGCTAATGGGCCAGGACAAATAAGGGCACATAATCAAAATGAAAAAGACTAGTGTCCAGTTACCAGTTGAAAAGTACAAGGCCATAGCAGAAAACAGTCAACCCTTGAGGCAGGTTGTCCCTGCAGTATGGGAAGCAAGGAACCACAGTGAAAATACTCTCTACCAACAGGTTTAAATGGCATCTACTTGAAGAAAGGTTATCATATACCTCTGATTCATTTCTGTGTTACTCAGGACAGCTTCTGCTCACAATCAAAGGCACCTCCAAAACAAGCAGTTCAAACAAAACATAAAACATTTCTATTTCAAACATTTGTCTGCTGGCCAAGCCACTGCTCAAAGTTAAGGTCCAATAAACCTGCTGCAGACTGTCCCTGGCTCGCCTTGGCAGTGACTCCGGATCTGGTGCAGCCTCCCCATAAGGAAAGCCACCACCACCATTTGTCTCCTGATCTCACTGAGATTAATGAGCTGTCTGCAGGAGAAATATCATATTTAACTGGGATTGCCCATCAATTTCATTCCGCACTGATGGTTATAATCTATTTCCACAAAGAAAGGCAATGTTCTCCTTTTATGGCAAGCATTTAATAATGTAAGTGTCACAGAAGAGAAACAATACATTGTAATTTCAAATGAAGTCACCTACTCTTTGGAACACACACAAAATAGGATTTTGAAATTTTTCATGGATTGTTTGTTGGATGCCTGCAAACAGGACACCATTAAAAATCACACACATACAAATACCAAAAGGATAAACAAACAATTCTTCTTAGGTGGAAAATTCAATCATACTATATTATTAGTGAAATATTATATTAATTTGCTTGCCCTTTATGTTTGTTCTTTACTCTGTCAGCCTTGCCTGTTGTTAGGTGCTGTCAAGTCGAGTACGACTCATAGTGACCCTATGAACAACAGCTCTGAACCCTGTCCCAGCCTCACAATCTCTGACACACCTTGCTTCTTACTTTTATGTGTGTATGTGTATGTGTATGTGTATGTGTATGTGTATGTGCATGTGTATGTGTATGTGTGTTGATTGCCTTCGAGTTGAGTACAACTGATAGCAAACCTATGAACAAAAGGCCTGAAGCCCCTCTACAACTATCAACATTTATTGAAGTTCATAGAGTTTCCGGAGACATTTTATTTAGGAAGTGGATGCCCCTCCTCCTTCTATGCAGCTCTCCTGTCCTCTGGCTTCCAAGTGGACTGCCAGTAGGAATGGGAGAAGAGGGATATTGAGGTGTTTATTCCCACAGTTCCTTCTCTACTGTACTACAGTTTGGTGATGGCTCAGCCCCCATGACTATAAGTCTTTGTGAGTTGGAAGAACAACTCAGTTTCTGGTCCAAGGGAAGGACAGTAACAGCTTCTCATTGGTGTTGATGCCTAGGTTTGTCCCCAGTTCTCAATAAGCCCCTAAACTCTCTCATGCCACTGCAAATAATTTCCTCATGAACTTGTTTCCACTATCCTTCCACAGAGTGGGCCATCTGTTTCCAGTGGAATGAGTGACAACACACGCGCCAGGGATCCCTCTGGTTTCTTTATTGCTTTCCTGTAGCAAATGGCAGAGAGGTCAACAGACTACGGCAGAATTGTGAAGAGTGCAGAATGGTTTTTATGTTTTTACATGGTTGAAAGAAACACCAAAAGAAGACTATTTTCTGAAGTATATATATTGTACAGCATTTAAATTTTGGTGTCAGTAAAGTTTTATTGGAACACAGTCATACTCATTTTGTTAACAGGATATGTATAGCTGCTTCCCGCTACACTAGCAGCACTCAGTAGTTTCTACAGAGATCATGTGACCTGCAGAAGTTAAAATATTTACTATCTAGCCTCCCTTGCAATTTACTGCCTCAAAAACCTGCCAGGGGTCAGCTGTAAGTCTGTTCCAACTCCACAGCAATGGATTTGAAAGCAGGAGTGGCATCTACTTCCTAAACAATATGCCTCTGGGAACTCTATGAACTTTGATAGATGTTGATAGTTATAAGAAAGGCTTCAGGTCTTTTGTTCATAGGGTCGCTATGAGTTGGGCTTGACTCAAAGGCAATCAACAATAACAACAATCTAGCCTTTTACAAAAAATGTTTGTTAACCCCTTTTCTAAGACATACTGTACAACTTGATACAGTAGAAGGATAACGAGACTCATTGGGTCACTGATATTTCTCACTGAGGCACAATGTATGAAGACTGTTGTCAATTTTTTTTTCCATGTTACCTGAGGAGAGGAAAGCAGTACTAGTGCCCCCAGGGAACCTATAATGGGAAGAAAAAGACTCCAAGTGCAGGGTTTTCTGACCAGCTTGTGATATTGTCAGTAAACTCCTATCACAGCATTTTCAGTAGGGCCCCAGGAGCCATGTCCTCCCCTGAGCTGCTCCGAAGTCATCTGCTACTTACTGCTTGTTCTCATGCTTGAACTACGTCCTATAACCCCTAAATTCTGTTCCCTTTGGCCCAAAAGGCCCTAAAAAATTGGAGACTGGAAGAGAGAGATGGACACATTTTACTAGTAGATTGGCCCGCAGGGCTTTGAAGATGTGCCTATAAAAGTTTAGGTACATATGGAAAACTGGACTCCACTACACACCCCTACCCTGGACCATTGAAGAGAAGCTCTGACCCTGAAGATAGAAACAACCCCCTCCTCTCCTTAATCTTTTAGGGTCCCAGAATGTAAAAAAAAAAAAAAAAAACCAAAACACTGTATAACTGATATCTCCTATTTTGTGCCTTGTTCCCTCTGGCTCAGATAAAAGGAAATTGGCTTCCTTTCATAGCTATAGACACTTTATGGGCTGGGAGTCAGCCTGTGAAATAAACTATTTTTAATTAGCTTTTTTCCAATAACAGCAAGCTCTAATGGTACCACGTAGCAGAGCGGTAGGTAATAGTGAGGTTTCCAGGGACACAGGGCAGCAGACACAGTTGTTAATTACGTTTGCCAAATGAATCAGAATAAGGAATCAGAATAAGGTCCACACCTTCACCAATGCCCTGAAGTGGGCACCACTGACAGGGGCACCAGTGCTGAACCTTAAGGAACTTTCTCAGATGCTAAAGCAGCACCAGGACAGTAGTACCTGGGTCTCTGGCAAAGGGGCAGGGGTGGGTGGGTGGAGGGAGAACAACAACAACAACAACCTTAGGACTTTTTGCATCCATCAAGCATGTGATTCTTGGTTGGCTTTGATGCAGAAACTCCCTCAAGAGGCTGAAGTTTCTAATTTCTGATTATTTTGTGCAACTCTATATACCATATTTCTTTTCTGCATTTTAAGAGAGGTTACTTAAAGCTCTGTGACCCAGTTTTTAATATAAATATGGGGGGGTTAGTGCTTATAAACATAGGCACATTAAAAACTCATGTGTCTGTAGAGGAAAATTTCCCAAATCCCTTTTTTCCCTGTGTCCAAATTTTAAAAAGATGTATTGCAATCCATAGCTCATTAAATTCATCTCAGCTTTTCAATCACATCCCATGATGCTGATAAAATATTGATTATTCCACCAGTTGGGCCATTCATGCCTCTGTTTTCCTTTTGGAATCTCTCACTGCTTGTGGTATCTGACTGCTCAGGAGGGTAGTATGAGACCCTGAGCAGAGCTGTGCAGGGACCCACCTGGGGGAGAATCAAACTCCTGCCTCACCCGCTCACCAGCAGGAAGACAGCAGAAGAGGAAGTAGCCTGGAGAGAGAAGTGACATGCAACACACACAGGGACATGGAACACACGAAGTGAGTAGAACCTGGAAGGACTCGAGGAGACCCCCAGTCTCCCTTACTTTCAGCATTTGGCCTTTCAGAGTTGTCCCTTCCCATTACTGCCGTACTCTAGAATTCTAACTAAACATATATCATCTCAGTAATTTTTATGCCATGATCTCCATTCAACCCCATCAACAGGGGGAAAAAACTGAAATAGTGTAGAAGAACAGAAGAGAAAGAAAATGAGACTTCCCACAGATGGTCTGGTATGAATTTAGACTTATCTGACCCAGGGCAAGTTGTAAAGCTGCTATTTGCCTCTGTCTCTTCGTTTGCAAAATGGAGAGGACCTTAGACAACCCTGCCCAAAGGTCACTGAGGCTTGAACTGTAAAAGCATCACCAGCGTCAAAATTATTTCAGCACCAAAATGTGAGCCTCCAGTGCCTTTAGCAAGAGCGCTCTTTAAAGGTAAAGATGGTGGGCCTTTGTCTCATGTATTTTGGGCATGTCATCAGGAAGGGCCATTCGCTGGAAAAGGTCATCATGCTTCGAAGAATGGAGAGTCAGTGAAAGGGAGGAAGACCCTCCATGTGATGGGTTGACACAGTGGCTGTGACAGCGGGCTTAAGCACAATAGTATAGTGAAGATGGTTCAGGCTCAGGCCAAGTTTTTATTCTGTCGTCCATAGCCTAGAACGAGTCACCCAAATCTAACACCACCACTAAATGGTGGGTGATTTGAATGCACGATTTTCTGTTCTCGCAATGACACTGTAGGTTCAGTATTATTATGCCTATTTAACAAGTCAAGAAACCCTGGCTGCAACAGGTGACCTGATAGTTCCAGGTCACAAAGCCAAGGGCGGAGTACTTGGATATCAGCACTGCTGGAACCCATGGCTTTCTTCTCTCCAGCTAGCAGCACTAGCTGTCCTCTGCAGCCCTCTGGTTTAGAGCAGGCCACTTAGGGGGAGCCTGGTCATACCAATCATACAGCTGACTCTCGTCTAATTTATTTTTAGTAGCATGGCGATTCTAGGCCATACAGGCCAGTACCCTTGGGGAAATGGCCTTGTCAAAGTCCTCAAGTGAGGTACAGAGCTCTGGCTTTGCTTCTGCAGGGATGAAAGGACACATTTAGATGTGGTGGGAATGGAACCTGAGGAGGTGCCTACCAAAAGACATGAGGGACCAGCACCCAGCCCTGACGGTGAGTGTACAGAATACATGCCCTCCAGCCACAAGTGCATTCACAGAGCTTCCGGGGATGGCTCTTACCTGGGGCTGCTCCATATGGAAACATAATCCATAGCTTGGCTCCCACAAATATGCTTATCCCACGTGCTACATATGGAAGGAGAAATCAGCCTGTATTTCATTAAACAGTTTGGCTCAGGTCTTGTGAGCAAACATTAGAATCTGCACTTGGTACGGAGTCTTAAACGCATCTTTAGCAATTCAGATGTCAAAAAAAAAAAAAGGAAAAGAAAACACTGCTAAATGTTTTAAAACAAATTAAGCAAAAAAAAAAAAAAGAAAAGAAAAGAAATAAAAATCCAACAACCCCCTTGTTAAAAATCTCTGTGCTATGGTTTATTAAAATTCTGCATTGCATGGTGGGGGCCCAGGGCGCTGATGGGTTGGGGGGAGGGCTGGTCCATTTTTCACCTGCAAGGGTGTGGCTGAGTCCCTACCACTAGCAGACTAGAAAGGCTCACCTGCAAGTCCAGAGCTGTCAGCTTGCCCTTGTCGCCAGCATTTCGTGCATACTCCTCGATGGTCCAGGAAGGCTGGCCTCGCTTCACCTCCGCCAGCTCCGTCAGCCGCATATCCGTGTACAGCGGGTTGCTCTTCATGTGGGCCTTGAGGGAGGCCGGGTAAGGATGAGGGCTGAACACCTGCTCCACCAGGAAGCCGCTGTCTTTGGGCTGCTTGGGCAGTCGGTGCTGCGGAGGGATGTCGTACTGCCTGTCAGCCTGTGGAGGGGCACAGAAAAGTCCCGAAAAGCAGCCCAGATGCTGTCTGCCTATGTGACACAACTTCACACTGTGCCAGCTTTTACCACTAGGCTATACAACAGACATCTGGTTAACCAAAATGCATATGTGTATAGAAACAATTAGGATGTATACCTGTATGGTGGAAAATTCCCTTCAAAATGACAAAGACTCTAGTCCAACAACCAAACTAAACATGTCGTTCTGAAATCCATTGTCAATTATGGGTCTCTCTTGAGTGTCAATTAAACTGCAAGAGAGGTGACCATTGGCTGTGACCTTCTATAAATGGATTCCAGGTACACATACCCACCTTCCAACACATGGATATTTTAGCTCTTGCTCAAATATAGCATAACATTTAGTCACTCTAAACCATCAACTATTTTATTTTACATGAGTCCGAAATCAACATCCATGATAATAGCAGTCAATAAATCAAGATTTTTTTTTCCATTGTGATTTTTCATCAAGAAATTTTGTATTGGGGAAATCTTCCATCAGTAATCTCTCTGAAATGCTAAAGACCAATGATGTCAGTTTAGAGACTAAGGTAGGTGCACTTGATCCAAGCCATAGTCTTTTCAATTCTTAGTTATGTATCTGAAAGTTAGACAGTGAATATGGGTGACAGAAGATGAATCAATGCCTTTGAATTGTGGTATTAGAGAAGAGTAATGGAGTCATGGAGGAAGTGTAACTAGGGTGCTACTTAAAGGCAAGGAAGGTGAAACTTAATGTCACATACTTTGGTCAGGAGGAACTATTTCTTGGTAAAAGGCATCACGCTGGGAAAGGAGGAGGGACAGATCCCAACAGGATAGATGGATACAGTGACTGTTGACAGTGAACTCAAGCATATTAGAGATGGTGAGAATGGCACAGGATAGAGCAAGGTTCTGCTCTCTCATTCACAGAGTCACGATGAGTTGTGGATGATGTCATGGCACCTAACACCAACAATAAACCACTCACCGTGCTGACATTATAGGACAAATGTTACCAACCCAAACAAGAGAAGGAGACTCTCTTATTTAGTTCTTTTGCTTGTTGTGTGCCATCTAATTGGATACAACTGGCACAGGAGGAAATTGCCCCTTGCCTCTCATTTTCTAACTGAACAAAGTTAAGTATCCTAGATATTTCACTTTTCAAAATTTATTCTGTTTTTATTTATTCTGCTCATCACCGCTACTCAACATTTATGGACCTGTATGAAGCTGGGGGTAGGGGCAGAGGCATCAATAACATTAGCTACAACTGCCTCATTTTACTACAGTCACAATTACTGAAGGGCTTACTGCTCAGGGCTATGCATGCATGACCTCATTTAATCATCTCAGTAATATTCTGGTGCTTTGACTATTACACCCACTTCATAGACAAGGAAACTAGATTGAGCCACTATTTAAATTGAACCTTTAAGATGGAATGCTTAACTGCTACCCATGTCTACTTCCCTGTTCCTCCTTCCTCCAAAGAGTTAGCATTCTACATTGTTGTTGTGTGCCATCGAGTTGGAACTGACCCATAGTTGACCCTCCAGCAGGTTTTTAGAAGCAGTAAATCCCAAGGGAGAAGAGTGGATATCCTCCAGAGGTACAGCTCATGGATTTCAACCATGTGCCTTTGGGACTTTGCACTAGGCCACCAGACACTCAGTAAATACATAGCTATTCAGATTGAGACGGAGATAAACATAATGGTCTCTACTATCTCTGAACAAAAAAGACTATAGTCTAGACATCAAAGGCTATTAATAATTCCTTTTTTGAAAAGCAAAAACAAATTTGCAGACACATATGAATGGAAACAACTTCAGGGAGCATAATACACTGAGAAGGTAAATAAGGCATTCTTAATGAAAGACTCACATGAAGAAAGACTTGCAGGGGGCACTGGATAAGGTCATATTAATAAATACTCAAAATTATTTACTCAGTGAATTACTTAATTTGATGAGCATTTTATACTTGTTGAGAAACAAGGAGACTTGTCAAGATAAACCAGGATATAGCTGTTAATAGAGCTGAGTAGAAAGCAGTTATTGCGTGGTACAAACAAGTGAACACTCTGGACTGTTAACTGCAAAGCTGGCAGCTAGAGTCTACCCAGAAGACCTGGTGATAGACTTAAAAAACCCTGAAATCCTTGAAGATTTATGATGAAAATCCTGCTCCCCATAAGTCAGAATTGACTCTATGGCAACTTATCAGGGGAAGGTAGTGAAATTCCCAGGTGCTAAAGGATAGAGGGCTCTAAGATCATGGTTAGCCAAGAACATTTCCTTGAGGCCAAGGAAAAGTCAGGAGAAGGAAGCACCTCACAATCAAAGAAAGCGGAGTTTTATATGAATGTGAACTCAACAGTGAGCAATGAAATGAGGCAGAGGATGAAGAATATTAAGTGGAGACAAGCTAAATGTACAAAAGAATTCCAGGTCAGACATGGAATGAGCACATACTGGGGGTAAAAGAGAGGAGACAGAGGTGCTTAAAGGGAAGCAGAGAGGCAAGAGACAGCCTGAAATAATAACTCACAGGATTCAGTGGCTAAATTGGATATTACAAAGTTGAAGGGAAGTCAAAGATCAAAGTTGTCTTTTCAATTTAGAAAGCTGTTAGAATATGGGTCCCAGAAAGAGTAGAAAAGTGTGGTTTAGAGCGTGTAGATTTTTTTCACTTGTGGATGAGATGTGAAGGGTGCAGACTATCCTTTAGCAATCTGAAATATGGAACAAAAGCTGGTCTCTGTTCTGGGGTTCACCAGTCCAGAAATGGTGGTGAGAGCATGGGAACCCCTGAGCAGATTCGTTCCCAGGGAGGGTTATAGAATGAGGAATGCCCAGACTTCTGGCAAGGTCAATGGCAAGGCCAGGCAAAGGCTGATTCATACAGCCTCTCAGCCTAGATATTAGCAACTTGGTGCTAGATATCCCAAACAGATTTTTCTTAAGTGTGTGACTACTTAAGTTTGTTTTGAGAGGTTTAGGTATTTTTTAAGACTGGCGAGTTCAATTTCATTTTATATCCCTACAGAAGCTCCTAAGAATTCTAGCATTCTAAGTGGCTGCTTTTCAATCATATCTCAGAGACAGGGTTCCAAGACATCTAACAGATACTGGTCAGTAAGAGACAACTACAGTGGAACCAAGGGAAGAGGGCTGTATGTGGCCTTTAACACAGCTGTTGTTGTTGTTATTGTTATGTGCTGTCGAGTCGTTTGCGACTCATAGCGACCCTATGTACAGCAGCCCTAAACCCTGCTCTATCCTGTGCCAATCGCATTGCCTCTGACACACCCATCCCGATTACCCCAGTCACTGAATCAATCCACCTCATAGATGGTCTTTCCCTCCTGCGCTGTCCCTCCACCCTACCAAGCATGATGTCCCTCTCCAAGGACCTGTCTCTCCTTACAACATGTCCAAAGTATGTCAGATGAAGCCCCAGAATCCTTGCCTCCAAGGAGTAGCCTGGATTAACCCTCTCCAGGATGAATCTCTTTGTTTTCTTGGCAGTCCATGGTACATTCAATACTCTTCTCCAGCACCACAGCTCAAAGGCATCAATTCTCCTTCTATCCTCCCTAGTCATTGTCCAACTCTCTGATGCATAACAAGTGATTGCAAAGACCATGGCCTGTATCAGGCACACCTTAGTCTCCAGAGAGACACCGTTGCTCTTGAGTACTTTAGAGAGGTCCCTAACAGCAGACTTTCCCATCACAACACATTTTTTTATTTCCTGGCTGCTGGTGCCAAGAGTGTTGACCGTGGAGCCGAGCAAACTGAAGCTGTGAACAATCTCAATCTCTTCGCCATCCATCCTGACGCTACCAATTGGTCCAGTGGTGAGAATCTTTGTCTTCTTGATATTGAGCCTCAGGTCATACTGAAGGCTGCAGTCCTTGACCCTCTGCAGCAAGTGCATGAGGTCCTCCTCAGTTTCAGCAAGCAGGGTTGTGTCATCTGCATAATGCAGATTGTTAATAGATCTTCCACCAATCCTGATGCCACAATTCTCCTCATAGAGCCCAACCTCTTGGATAATCTGCTCTGCATACAGGTTGAAAAGTTATGGAGATAGGACACATCCCTGGCGTACACCCTTCCCAATTTTGAACCATTCAGTGTTGCCCTGCTCTGTTCTGACGACTGCCTCTTGGTCCAAGTATAGGTTTCGCATTAGCACGATTAAATGTTCTGGGATTCCTATTCTTCTCAGAGTCAGCTACAGTTTGTTATGATCCACACAGTCAAATGCCTTCCAAGACATCTAACAGACATTGGTCAGTAAGAGACAACTACAGTGGAACCAAGGGAAGAGGGCTGTATATGGCCTTTTACACAGTACCCTACCTAATGTCTCTCCAACACGACAGATTATAGGTGGTTACAGGAGGACACTGTGACGACAGTACAGAAACAGAAAGTTTCCTGGGATCAAAACTCCTGGGCCTCCAGAAGAAAAATATTTATAAGCCAATTACAAAATGGTCAAGAGACATGGAAGGACTTTTCACAGAGGAAGACATTCTAATGGTCAACAGAAACATGAAGAAATGCTCCAAATCACTAGCAATAAGAGAGATGGAAATCAAAACCACAAGGAGATACCATCATACCCCAGTAGCACTGGAAAGTTTAACAGGGCAGCAAGCAATAAATGTTGGAGCGGATGTGGAGAGATGGGAACTCTCATACACTGTTGGTGGGATTGTAAAATGGTACAATTCTGGAAGACAGTTTGGCTTTTCCTCAAAAAGTAGAACTTAGAAACTCTGTCTGACTCAGCTATTACACTACTAGGAATACCTCAAGAAAATTAGAACTGAGACATTTGTACACTAATGTTCATATCAGCATTATTCACCATGGTAAGATCATGGAAACAGTCCAAATGTCCAACAAAACAGACTAGATTGTGAAATTGTGGTACATTTGCATGATGGAATTCTATGCAACACTAAAGAGCAACAATTTTGAAAAACACTGCATAGCTAGGGAGAGGCTAGAGAGCATTATGCTGGATAAACTAACTCAGTCTCATAAGAACAAATACTGCATAAGACCATTATTGTAAAAATAGAAGGACAGCTAGTAAAACATGTATGGGGATCCAAGAGGTGAAGGGGTGGGAGCAGAGGGGTGAGGATGAGTAAGGACAAAACCACAGGATTGAATAAACCAATATAAAATGAGAAGAGAAAAGAAATAATTTTTGTGGGTTTTTTTCCTCCATTTTGGATGGTCTAAACTTCTTTAAGACCCAATTTTTTAACATTTTTTTTCCTTTCTTTGCACTTTGTTCGTAGGGTTGCTGAGTCATCTACAACTTGATGGCACTTAACAACAACTTAGCACTATTTGAGGACTTCCACCTTCTCCGGTACTGAGTTCGGCAGCTCACACCATCTCTATCTCTCTCTTTCTCTTTCTCAGTGACTTCTGTCCTCCATGACCTCAGAAGTCCTCAGTGAGCCTCCCCATGTCCTTTAAAAGCAGAGAAGGGAATTGAGACAAGCAGCAAATTGAAATTTCATCACCAGGAAGGCCAGAATAGCTTTGCAGTAACCCATATAGAATGAAGACAAGGAGCTACAGGTCCCACTAAAACAAATCATTTTTACTGCAGACCATGAAATGTAGAAAGAATATGAATGCACCCAGACAGCCTTTATTCTAGAGTTGATGAGAAGAGGCCAGCCACCAACATGCACTGTTTCAGCTCATAGGCAAAGGGAAGAATTTGCAATTACAAAGGAAACAGAATTAAAATGGGAAGAAAGCACCCTATTAAAAGCCCTTGGGAGGTAGAACTATGAGAAAATTATCTTCTTTTTTCTACAAATCATCTATTAATCTTATAGTGGCTAACCTTGTAATTTTAAAAGGGAGCACCAGGCATATAACAATCTACCTACAAGGGGCATATTGTTGTTATGTATTATCAAGTCGGAACCAACTCAGAGCTGACCCTCCTGTAGGTTTTCGGAGGCAGTTAATCTCATGGGAGGTGATTGCCTAGCCTTTCCCCTCAGAGTTGCTGTTGCTGTTAAGTGCCATCAAGTCGTAGACAACTCTCGGGTTGTAGACGACTCATAGTGACCCTGTGCTCAAAAGTCGTGAATGCAAAAAACTTTCATCTTTTCTCTAAGTTCATAGAGTTTTCCGAGGCAAGCTATTTAGGAAGTGGATGCCACTCCTGCTTCGAAGCCTGTTTTAATTCGGAAGCTCCACTAAACCCTGTCCACCATGGGTAACAATTATCCCGTTTGATACCTAGTGCCTTCGGTATTGCAATACAGCTTCTTGCCACTAGGCCACCAAAGCTCTCAATTAGCTAGTTTTAAGCCACATTGTTGTTGTTGTTGTTATGTGCCATAGAATCAACTACAACTCATAGCACACTATGCATAACCCTGCCCTTTCCTGACCAATCTCCCCATCTCTGAGAAACCTGCCCACATCCCCACTGACACAGTGTCGACCCATCTCATTCAGGTTCTCTAAGTCAGTAGGTACTTTTAAATTCATTTTTCTTATTTCTCTTGCCCATGTCCTGCTATTTCAGGAGGGATGGAAGATATCTGTGATGGTGCTTGCAGCTTCTGACACACCCCCTATTTTTACGAAAAATCTGTTTTCATGACACCTGTCCAATATCTGAACCACACTTTCGCCTGTTGGCCACATCGCAGGATGGGCTCCCGGTAGTGACTGAAAAGCTGGCAGAACAAACCAAAGCTGGCAGAACAAACCACTTGTCTACGCTTCCCTCCCTGTTTTGACTTGAACACCCTACCAAGTCTGGATGAATAACTGACCCACTCTTCTCTCATCGTTAATGCAGCATCCAAGGCTTTGAAACACACAAGGACTATTTTAAAACCTGTGGCCAAAGACATAAACTTAAATTTGAATTACCTCTTTAGATTTCCGATGCCAGTCCTTACTGTCCCCCGGGCCTCTGTCTTTCAGCTCCTCCTCATTCAGGCCCACGCGGTTGGTATAGGTGATGGTGCGCCAGTCTCGGGGGGAGTTGGAGATACTGGCAATCTTGGATTCAGTAGCACTGTTTTCTTCAGTCAGGGACCTAGAAGACGGCCTGGTGAAGAGACTTTTTTTTAAGGCCTTGACACGCAGACTTTCACTGTTGCTCCCGCTGGCATCTGAACAACACCAGTCGGCAGCGTTGTTCTCCAGCTTGGGTCCATGGGCGCTGTTGTGCGCACGGAACATGCGCGGGGAGGCGCTGTCGTCAGAAGGAGCCTCACTGGTTAAGGAATTCAGGTCGATCTGCACACTCACCTCGGGCTGCTGCATTTTCTGATCCAATCGATTCAATTTACCTAACACTTGGGAGATTTCTTCGCGGACACCAGACAGCGATTCAAGCTTCCGTTCAATTTCCCCGATCCGGAGCACCAGTTTGCACACACTAGACTTTAGCTCCTCTTCCGAGTGGTGGTGGGTCTCGAGACGATTGCCCTTTTCGCCTTTGCTGCTGGGGACCCCATTGGCGATCTTGGAGAGGTTGTGCTCCGGTGAACTGTCGCAGTCTGATTTATGAAGCTGAGACAGGGACCCCGTGCTGTTGTAGCAGGATGATTGTATCACCCCAGTGGAGCCGCTGATGCTCATGTCATCAAGGAAGCGGAAAATGTCACTGATGTCATCGCTGACAATCTCGGAGTCGTCATCCGACTTCATGGCATGCCTGTCACTGTACTTGCCCTGGCTGGGGCCGCTCAAGTCTTTGCATTTCTTGGGCTCCAGCTCGGTCTGGGTACCCACACTACTGGTGTCTGAGCTGAGCTGGCCACTGGTGCAGCTAATGCTCTTATCCTTGAATTTCTTGGCTGCTTCATGTTTGTCCAGCTCCATGGGGGACGGGAGCTCTTTCGACTTCAGCCCGTTGGCCTTTGCTGCATAGCTGATGGGGAGGATCTGTGGGGGCTCTTTTGGTGCCAGGTAAGCCTGGCGCCTGTCCGGGGCTGAGAAATTGGGGGACTGGCTGGGGTTGGGGTAACGGAGCTTCTCCTCGGAAGGATTTCTATTGAAAAAGGACCTTTCGAAGTCAGGGACCTCTTCAGTGTTGAGGCTCCAGCTTTTGGCTGGCCAGGGGGTCTGCTTGCTCGGCCTCCCGGGACAGCGGCGGGCGTCCGGGGTTCCCACCACTGGTGTGGGCCCAAAATATGTGGAGGCCTGAAGGTCATCCAAGCTCTCATGCTTCACTCGCCTTTTGTCAGGAAGCGGCGAGTACACGGGGTTCAGGTACTGGCTGTTGTAGGGCATTTCGAAGCTGTGATTGAAGAAGGGTGGCTTGTGGGACTCCTTGCGGCTCTGGGCTTCCCCATGCTCGGCCTCGGCTTTGCTTGCAGGGCCCACCAGGCCGGGGGACACGGCCATCAGATTGTGAAAGTCCTCTTTGAAAATGTTCCTTTTCTGCACACAGGACGGGACCACAAAGGGCTCCTCGTTGGAAATGAAGGTCTCCTTGATGCCGGGGTTGATGGGCAGGGAGTCCTGGTCAGAGATGGACTCGTTCTCGATGTTCATGGGGAAGTAGGTCCTTTGCATCTCGCAGGGCTGGGGGCTGGCCACCGAGTAGGGGGCTAGGGCCTGCAGCCGGTCCAAGGAGGCAGCACGGTTCTTCACCTCCTTGCTGACCCCCAGCAAGAAGTTGGGCTCGGAGGCGGGGACAAATTGTGGGCAGTCTTTGCAGTCCATCTTCCGGCACTTGGACGACTGGCGGGTGGGGTAACCCCGGCTGAAAGGCCGCTCGCTCAGCTCACAGTTGAGGGGCTCACACTCGGCTGCGCTGCAGATCTCAGTGTCCGAGCGGCACGACTCGAAGGACGCGTCCTTCTTGCGCATTTTCTGGCGACTGCTGGGCAGCTTCTCCTTGGCGGGGCCCCCGTTCATCTGGATCAGGTTGAATATCGTCACAATGTCCGCGGCCACCATGATCTTCTTGGATTGCTGGTTGTTCACGGTGCATTTCATCTTGTCTTTGAATAAGGTGGCCGGGAAATTGGGGTCGAGGCAGGCCGTGTAGAAGAGGACGCTCCTGAGCTTGGCCAGTTGCGACAGATCGAAGCGGCCACACAGGGATTTGCACAGGTCCTGGTAGGAAACCGTGTTCTGCTTGCTGTCCAATTCCTCCAGGATCTTCACCAAGAAGAGAGAAGTTTCCTGATTGCTCTCCATGATTTCAAATTCAAAGGCTGGCTGGCTGCAAGGAAACGTCAGGCCAGTGCCACCTGACAGTATCTAAAAAAGACAGAGAAGAACGGAATTACAAACACCTCAAAAACCTCACACTCATCGCCATGAAGTCAGAAACAATTTATGGATCCTCTGGGTTTCGCAGGCTGTAAATCCCAGACAGAGGAGATTGTCATTTTTATCCGGAACTGCTGGTGGATTCCAAGCTCTGTCTTTGGGTTAGAAGCACAACACACTACATACAAAGGCCCAGAACTCCCCTTATAAACACCATTGGCAGTTTAGGTTTACGTCAAATTGGTTATGAACCACATAAAGAAAGGACTGGCTAATGCTGGCTGATCTGTATTTTTACAGCTTGAAAAAGGGGGCGGGGGAGAAAGGGGGAGGAAGGAGGGAGGGAAGAAGGAAAGAAAAAGGAAGAAAGACAGGGAAAACATTGTAAACATACATTGATATGTACTAAAGGCCTCCAAAATATTCATCGCCTTCAGCTTAGTAATTCCCTTTCTATCCTGAAGCAGCTATGACTGTGTTGGTATTTAAACAAACAAAATTATAATGATAATGTTGTTGTTGTTGTGTGCTGTCAAGTTGATTTCAGTTCATAATGAAAAAGAAAAGTGTCTCCTAAGCATTTCCAGGCTGTAATCCTTGTGGACAGTGTTTAGTGCAGCTCCCAGATATAAAACAGGTTTGGAAGCAGGAGTGGCACCCAATTCCTAAATCACATGCCTCTGAACTCTATGAACTTGGAGGAATGACGATAGTCATGGAAAGACATTAGGCCTTTTGTTCATAGAGTCTCTCTGCTCTCAACTTGACAGCAATCAACAAACAACAACAATCCTTACAAGGGAAGATCACCAGTGTTTTCTCCCTCTGTGCCACCTGGGGGTTCAGGCCTGTGACCTTTCTGTTCCCAATCAAGCACTTCACCATTGTATCACCAAAGCACCTATAAAGAGTAACAGGGGTTACATAAATAGAAACATAATGTGATATGCACTGTGTCTTCACATATATTATAATTAAATATTATAATTATGAATGTTCCTCCAAACAATGGAGCCCTACTTAGCAATAAAAAGGAACAAAACTACTAATGCATGCAACCACATGGGTGAATCCCACATGTAGTGTGCTCGAGTGAAAGAAGGCAGCCTCAAAAGCTACCCACAGTATGGTTTCATTTTATGGACATGCTGGAAAACAGAATTCACATCATTCACATCCACAAATTGCTCCATGGGAGAAAGGTGGGCAATTTCCTCCCATGCAATTTAGAACATCTCATAACCTTCTAGAGGATCAGCTGTGGATCAGTTCCAACTCTACAGTACACAACAACAACAACAACAGGGGTTAGGTAGGGACAGTAGAGATTGAGTACAAAGGGACATGGAGAAATTTTCCAAGATTTCCAAAGAAAAAGATAACCATATGCTACATATTATGTAAAGTCATGGTCCTCTAGTCAGAACCACCTAACGCTTGACCCTCCAGTGAGTTTTCTGAGGCTGAGAATCACCTGGAAGGAAATTGGCCATCTTTCTCCTGTGGAGCAAGTGGTGATTTTGAATCACCTGCCTTTGATTGGCAGAGCAACTCCTTGCCCATTAGGCCACCAGAGCTCCTCGTGTTGTTGTTACATGCTGACCAGTCAGAACTAACTCACAGCTGACCCTCTAGTGGTTTTTCAGAAGCCAGAAATCACATGGAAGATAGTTCATTGCCCCCTTTCCCTGCAGAGCATCTGTTGTTGTTGCTGTTGTTGATTGCCGTCAAGTCAAGCACCACTCATAGAGACCCTATGAACAAAAGACCTGAAGCCTTTCAATAACTATGTTTTCTCAAAATTCAGAGTTTCCAGAGGCATGTTGTTTAGGAAGTGGATGCCACTTCTGCTTCCAAAGCAGAGCTACTAGTGGGTTTGAAATACCTGCCTCTGGGTTGTTGGCACAATTTCTTACCACTATATATGGCCTGATCATGCAGACTTCAGTATGGACTGAGGCTCAATGTCAAGAAGACAAAGATTCTCACCACTGGACCAATTAGCAGCATCAGGATGGATGGCGAAGAGATTGAGATTGTTCACAGCTTCAGTTTGCTCGGCTCCACAGTCAACACTCTCGGCACCAGCAGCCAGGAAATCAAAAAATGTATCACGATGGGAAAGTCTGCTGTTAGGGACCTCTCTAAAGTACTCAGGAGCAACAGTGTCTCTCTGGAGACTAAGGTGCGCCTGATACAGGCCATGGTCTTTGCAATCGCTTGTTATGCATCAGAGAGTTGGACAATGACTAGGGAGGACAGAACGAGAGTGGATGCTTTTGAGCTGTGGTGCTGGAGAAGAGTACTGAATGTACCATGGACTGCCAGGAAAACAAACAGATTCATCTTGGAGGCAAGGTTTCTGGGGCTTCATCTGACATTCTTTGGACATGTTGTAAGGAGAGACAGGTCTTTGGAGAGGGACATCATGCTTGGTAGGGTGAAGTGACACGCAGGAGGGAAAGACCCTCTATTAGGTGGATTAATTCAGTTACTGGGGTAATCAGGATGGGTGTGTCAGAGGCAATGCTATTGGCACAGGATAGAGCAGGGTTTAGGGCTGTTGTACATAGGGTTGCTATGAGTCGCAAACAACTCGAGGGCACATAACAACAACATATATGGCCTAGGGAGCTCTGGTGACCTGAAAGTAAGAAGTTGTACTGCCAACCCCAAAACAGGCAATTCAAATCTACCACCAGAGCTCCAGCAGACAAGGACCAGCTATCTCCTCCTGTGTAATTTACAGCCTCGAAAGGCTACTGGGGGTCAGCTATGAGTCAGTATCATATGCACCATAATGAGGTGTTTTTTTTTATTGTTGTATAACCATATACAACTCAAATTTACAGGACTGTTCAATACTTGGAAGTACAGATGTTACTCTCTCCCTGTACATGTGTTAATCACTGAGTCCATTCTGACTCAGGATGACCTGATCTGTGTTAGAATACAGCTGTATTCCATAGGGTTTTCAATGGTTAATTTTTCAAATGTAGCTCACCATGTGTTTCTTATATAGTATCTCTGTACTGTATATAAATGATATCTTAATTTTAAAAATACAATAAAGAAGACTTTTATATAAAAAAAGAAAGTGATAATATTGACTGAAAAAAATAGCACATTATATCTTCTCAGTCAAGTCTGTACATGTAAGTAAAAGAAAAATGCAAGAAAATAACAAACAACAAAATGTTAATTGTGGTTAAGCTTGAATTGTAAAATAGAGATTTATTTTTTACTCAGTAATCTTTTCCCTCAATATTTTATTATGCAAATTTTCAAACATGCAGAAAAATTTAGAGAATTTGATAGTAAAAACCCATATAGTCACCATCTGGAGTCTACCATTAACATTTTAATTCCTTTGTTATATATCTACCCATCTATCCATAGCTAAGCCATCTTATTTTTAAAATGTATTTCAAAGTAAACTGCAGGCGTCTGTATATTTCCCCTAAGTACTTCAACATGCATATCATTAACCCAAATTGAGTAATTGTTTACAGTTTTTCTTATAATATAAAATTTACATGCATCAATCTTAAGTGTGCATTAGCTGAAGTTTTGACAAATACATATGCCTAGGTGATCAACATCTTATAAAGATACAGAAGGGCCTCCATTTTCCCCAAAAGTTCCTATATGATCCTCCCAATCAACCATTTTTCTTATTGCTTATATTGTTGTTGTAGTTGTGTACAAATTGGAACTCACTCATAGCTGACCCTTCAGTGGATTTTTAGAGGCAGTTAATCACACGTGAGGAGCATGCCCATCTTTCTTCTCACAGAGCAGCTGATGGATTTGAATTGTGTGCCTTGGGGTTGGCAGCACAACTCCTTAACACTAAGCCACCAGATGTTGTTTTTGCTAGATGCCATTATGACCCTATGAACCATAGATATGAACCCTATGCCATCCTCATTATCTCTGACACAAAATATTTATAGGAAATTCTTATTTTCACTTTATAATTTCCTATCTTCTCACAAATTTCTACAATGAACATAAATTACTCTATAACTATGAAAAATTGAGCCATGAATAATGAAGGCTGAAGAACCAATGTGTTTGAATTGTAGTGTTGGCAAAATGCATTGAATATCCCATGGACTAAAGAACAAACAAATCTGCCTTGGAAGAAGTGCTAATAGGCTGCTCCTTGGAGGCAAGGATGGTAAAACTTCGTCTCACATCCTTAGAGCATGTTGTCAAGAGGGGCCAGTCATTGGAAAATGGCATCATAATGAAAAGGATAGAAGCTAGAAAAACAGAGAAAGACCCTCAATAAGCTGGACTGACACAATCAAGTATGGACGATATCCTGAGGACAGTACAGGCTTGGGAAAGCTTCCAATCTTGTGTTTATAGGGTCTCTGTTACTTATAGTAGATTTAATGGCACCTGTTAATAACATTCCCAGGCTGGGAAGATAAATGGAATGGCCCAATTGTGCTAAGGTTTGTTTTCTGCTTTGGGGTTGAGGCTAGAGGGTAGCTGCTGCTCACAACAGGATGTGAGCTGATTGGAGTTGGCTTCCTATTTAAAAAGGCTTTTGGGCCCTGAGTGGTGTTTGTGGATCTTCCTGAATAAAAGAGGCTTGGAAGCAGGAGTGGCATCCACTTCCAAAAAAAAAGTTTGCCTCTGGAAACTCTATGAACTTGGAGAAAAGATGAAAGTTTTACATTCAAGACTTTCATTCATAGAGTCACTATGGGTCCTCTAACGACACAACGGAACTTAACAACAGCAGCAATATTAATAACAACACAGAACAATAATAATCCTTACATTAAAATGAAAGGAAGAGATATATTAATTAGGCAGAGACAAGAAAGCTAAAATCATTGAGAAAAAAGTTTGACAAACCTAAGGAGCTCTGATAGCCTAGTGGCAAGAAGCTGCACTGCAACCCCAGA